TTGAATATATATATATATATATACACACACACACAGTCAACTCCGCTTGAGTGGATCTTTGGTTAAGTTGATCTTTTTCTCGGGCCCCAGCACATCTTCTTTACCGTAGGTCTACTAGGTGCCAACGGTTCAGTTGAACTTCGGATGAGTTTATCTTTTTTTTCACTCCCCCGACGACATCAACTCATTGGTAGTCGACTGTATAGGCCTAAGTCTTCCTCGATTGCGCAACCATACCACCTTGATAGTGTCTCAGTATCTTCCCACACCGTAGCTGTACCCACCTGCACTTCTTCAGCTCTTTTACTTTTACTTGTAGCTTTATCATCAGCTTCCCTTTCCTTGCACTGCCCATAGTTTACCACACACACACACACACACACACACACACACACACACACACACACACACATTCCATGTTTATTTAGTCCTTCTTCTCTACTTTCATCTCCAAACGTTTTCGTATATCGTCTGCCACTCCCAACCTTTTTGTACTCCTTCTTGATCTTGTCCGTCCATATCCAGATGAGCTCAGCCTTATCGAACCTCTGAGTAAGGTGGCATAATTGGTCGCTTCTAAGGACAAGCGGGCTAACTCAGATTTGGGGGGTTTCCAGAAATCGTGACCTACACCAAAAGCGGGCATTGCCCTACCTAAAGGAGAAATTTGGTTTCATCGGTGTGTATATTTGTTTGGTTATAGAGAAAACTCTCCTTGTCTTTTAAAGAAACTGAACAAGAGGCACAAACTTTACCTTCCATTTTCTCAAAACAGCATTTTACGGGATAGCCCCCTGGTGCTTAAAAGTGACCAATTGTCATTGTGCGTTGTTTTACAATCTATGACTGTCCAAGTCTATGGATGCTGACTGGCATACTTATTGTTGTAGTCACATGGCTTTGAGTTTATGGGGGGGTCCCACCTGAAGGCTGAAATCGTTATGACTCGAAACTTGGTATGTTTGTTACAATTGTTGCAAAAATCGTTTTTCAACAAAAACTTTTCCTATCAATATGTTATCGATACTATCATGTTTTTGGCCGCCGTGTTGGACTTTACATCATTTTGAAACAAAAAACTGGCTACTCCTCCCAACTTTACCCATGGAATTTGTTCATGTTTCAGAAATATGTAGTCAAGAGGGTTGTATGATGAAGTAATGCCCGTTGACTATCTTTATTCCATTCCAAATATCATTATAATCCATTGGTAAACTTTGGAAGAGTAGGGGAAATATGTGGTCAAAAAGTGAAAAAAATTTTACTTTTTGTCTCTTTCCTTTTTTTTTTTTTTTTTTTTTTTTTTTTTGAAAAACTGATCCTGATTGGTCATATTGTCTACAACAAAAAATGTTGGATTTCTTATTGATAATGCATGTGCCAAAAATCATTTAAAACTGTCCAGTAACTGCAAAAGTGCTGCACAGCTGTCGGGAAAATTCAGTTTTGCTGAGATCAGCGGAACAGGGTGGGACACACACACACACACTCACCCGATTGATCAGCCAAACAGGGTGGACCCCCCCCGATCAGCCAAACAGGGTGGGACCCCTCCCCTCCCCCCAAGGACCAAACAATCTCTGTCCCCATCATCTCTGCGTGGATGTTGGTGATTCGCTTAACTACATCAAAACTGCATGTACATGTGTACACATTCATACATTTCATGTCATTCATGTTTTTAGCATAATTTAATGCTGTACTTAAAAAATTAAAATGTCGTTAAATACGTACTGGTTTTGTTTGTGTGTGTTTTTATTGTCAACTCTTGCTTACAGTCAACATTGAATGGTAGTGTAGGACCTAATGTCTAGCGTACGGCAACGTTTGGGTCCACAGACTAATGCGCAGTTCACAACGTAGTTTATGTCTAGATTAGCTTCCAGCATTGTTCAGTAGCGGGGGGGGGGGGGGGGGGGGGGGGGGGGCTGCATCTTACCCTACGTTTTTTAGTAAAGAGTTTTACGGCACTTGGCAGTATCAGTGCGAAAGATTAGAGGTGTTACAAGAGAGTAACTTACTGACAAACACAAAAAAGAAGGAGGAGAGATAAGGACGATAGATGTTTGATAGGAAAGAAGGAGCAAACCACACAAGAGCACCCGCCAACCATCCGTTATTCTGGTTAGTGGAAACAAGAAACACAGGTCTGAATAACTGTTGAGCTCAACATAACATGCAATTGTAATACTGAACGACTGCAAGTTTGAAAAGAACAAAGTTTGTTACAAACTGCTAACAAATAGCATCACAAATTTATTTGATGATTATTTTATTGCTTTCCAGTCTTCCAAACAACGTCAATAAATAAATTAATGTGAACATTCATCGCCCCATTATATTACAAAGCAACACCATTTTCAAATTCGCAAAAATGCAAACACATTTATAATGCAACGTGGACGTGATTGATTAAACCATAAATCTAGCGAGATTCTTTACAGCTCTGCCGAGGCTTAGATCTATATGAAAACAGAAAACCATTTGCTGACTCGACAAATCTCAACCATCCTGGTGACAGAGTATTAAGTATAAGGGATGAAATGACTATTCTGCTTCTCTGTAGCAGCCACAATAGGCTCTGTATTTTAACCCTATCCGTACGCCCTGGGGTCATTTTGTACCCCCGGGGTTGTATTCTTCACATTTTGAATACTTCTAGTACGAAGATCTCTTTGAAATTTTCAGTTTTTCTCAAAAATTCATTCTGACAGACTGCTATGCAAAGCGTACGAATCAGATTAACGAGTAAATTTCTTCTTTGAAAGTGGTGGCACAGAGTTCTCCACGTTGTAGGGATATGACAGCAAAACACGACGTACGGATAGGGTTAAAGTATTTACCACTATACATGTTATTCTGCATTGAGCTGTGGGCTGTCACAGATGTATTTTGAAGTGAAGTTTAAGTAGCTTACTTCTTGGACTATTGACAACAAAACTATCTGATGGAACAGAAGAAAGAGGAATAAGAATAAGCGTAGAGCAAGACAACGAAAACTAAAATATCAACAACAGTAGAGAAGCCTAGAAAAACAGTATACTGTGATGAAAAGAAAATTGTCACAAGGATATTCTTTCCACTCTTAAGTTAAAGTCAGTCAAGAAAGTCAAGAACTAACATGATCATCAGTTGTTGTTTTTTGTTTTAGTAAGAGTTTTACAGTACTTGCAACACAATAAGGTCATATATAAGTCCTGAAGATTAGAGGTGCTACAAATTACAAGAGAGTAACAAGCACAAAATAATAATAGGAGGGGAGATAAAGACGACAGGTGTTTGATAGGAAAGAACGAGCAAGCCACACCAGAGCACCCGCCAACCACCCACTACAAAAATCTGGGTGTACTACAAGGGGAAAAAAATGGTCACAATGATATTCTTTCCACTCAGTTAAAGTCAGTCAAGAACTAACATGATCATCATCGGTGAAATTTCCAAGATCTAAAAGGCACACTACCTGATGCTTGATACCGTGCATGTTTAACTCATTCAGTGCTACGGAGGAGAATACTCACGAAACCTGGGCCCCGCCCCACATACCAGCGACGAGTATTCTCGCATTCTGCCTCGCTGTCTTTATAGAAAGAATGGCTCTCTCTAATCCATACCTAGTTATTTGAACTAATCATGATGCACTATGGGAAAGGTCAAGGAGACATTTTTTCTGCTCAAACAGCCATTGAGCCCACTAGTTGTGACTGATTTTCCCGGGTAGACTTAATTTCCTGTTGCCATGACAAAACTGGCCAGTAGATGAGGGGAGTTCACTGCTGGAGCGCTCGGCACAGAATGAGGAAAGGCCAACACACACTGAAGTCACAGACATGAGAAGGTAGTGATAACAGCACTCAGCCTTGTTTCACACAGTTTTCAAAGTTCAAATTGGTAACAGCTGTCACACTTAAAATAAAAGGAATTGCAACTGTTACGGACGTATTAACATTGTCCGCAAATATACATATTACCAGCCTCTAGATCAATTCTCTTTATATTTCAGACTTTATGATTTTCGCAATTCAATTACTTCCCACAATTAATTGAACTCAAGAGGTAAAAATTTAAAAATGATGACTGCAAATGTGCTCTGTCTTGACTAGAATTTAAACTCGAGCCACCTTACAACAGTTCATCAGGTCTGTGAGTATAGGAATTAATCCATGAGACAGCATGACAGAACCCTTCCTTTTGATACATGTTCATGATTTCGTCCATTTAAAAAAAAAAAAATTTCAGAATCTCTTGAGCGACTCATTTTTTAAATTTCAGCTCTTCATCTTTTTTTAGAACCCGATGAGATTTTTAGACCATATTTTAAAATCATAACTTACCTTTTAAATAAACTTCCTCAAACGCACTGTAAAAATGGAACTTGGAAAATTAGTGTGGCATCAAAGCAAAACTTCCTGGACTTTGAGAAAACTGGCCACTTCACTGACCTCCTTCAGTACAATAAGTTCAGCTGGGTTTTTTCATTGCTCCAGCTAATTTTTTTCCACTGTGGCTGTAACAAACAATGATGTGATCTTTATTTTACCCAAAAAATAATACATAATAGATGGTATTCATATATCGCTCTATCCCATACAAGTATACCCTCTGAGCGCTTTACGTTGCTGACATGATCACTGAGCGTAATATTTTATTTACACAAGACAAAACATTTCACAGCAACAAGAAAACCAGTTTAACTGCATAAAGAAGAACTTTCTCAACCATACATTAATCATATACACGTAAGGACAGCGGTACAACCAAACACATCAGCACTCACTAACAAAACACATCAGCAATCACTAACAAAACATATCAGCACTCACTAACAAAACATATCAGCACTCACTAACAAAACATATCAGCACTCACTAACAAAACATATCAGCACTCACTAACAAAACATATCAGCACTCACTAACAAAACATATCAGCACTCACTAACAAAACATATCAGCACTCACTAACAAAACACATCAGCACTCACTAACAAAACATATCAGCACTCACTAACACATGACAACTAAGAACAACACAGAGATCATGAGACAACTGGGCCCATGTATTTGGCTCCCGGGTATTTCTCCGCCAATTCGGGCCACTGTACAAAAAAAGCGTCGACAAAACGGTAGAGAAGCTTCCCCGAGAGAGACATCGAAGTCACTCGGCAAAAACTTTCCACATACACGATATAGGTGTCCTTCACACTGAACCACTGAGGAAAAGAAAGGATGGTTTAAGTAAAGTAAGAGTTTTATAGCACTTGCAACTGCGTAAGGTCATATGAGCGTGCAAAGAAAGGGGGAAATCAGATTTCAACATGACAACAAAGAAAAACTGGCTTATCTGTAACAGTAAAGGGAATACAGCAACAAAGGCAAAAACTAAGCACCATATATGGTAGTGCTATCCTGTAGGTTTAACATCCGTATCAACAGGGAGATGTCTTTAACTTTAAAATTTAATCTCTAATTTCATCAATGACAAAAACTTTCTGTTGTCAAATCTGAAACTATAATATATTGGGGTCACAGAGTCAGAGGAGTCTGCATTGTGTAGAGATAAGCAGAAACTATCACCATCGGTCTATTTTAATGGTCTCAAGGCTGTTATCCCCTACAGGATACTCTGAAATAACACTTTCAACAACCTTTGCTGCCTTCATTTTTTATCATGTCACTGGCACAGGCTCGGGCACTTATTCAGGAGTTTACAGTCTTTTTTTTTTTTTTTTTTTTCGTTTTACGGCGCTCGCAACTGCATAAGGTCGTAAGAGTGTCCGGGACACACCAAACATTTTCAACTGGTAGGGAATTTTGAATTTTGCGCGGGTGGCGGCCGAAGCCTACTCTTATAGATTTTTAACCACCAAGGGACTTTTAACGTGCGCAACTTGAACACAGGACCTCCGAGATTTTTCGCCCTTGTCCGAGAAGGCTACATGAAGATCTTACCTACTATAAGATCAGTGATGTGGCTGAAAGACAGCAGTAAGAAGGAGCCAAGGAGTAGCAGTAGAAAGGCTGCAGAAAGAGTCAGGAGCCCAGAGGAGGGGACAAAGGAGGTGAAGGGGTGGGGGCAGAAAGTGGAAATGAAAGCAGACGCCAGAACATTGCTAGAGAGCAGGAAAGGAGGTAAAAGGAGACAATTTTTTAGTAGAACATTTTTCGGAAGCTACCCGGATTCCAACCCAGGACCTTTGAATGAGAGGCGAACACCTTAACCTCTAGACCACGAGAACCCCCCGAATATGAGTGTGTGCACTCAAGTGCATGTGAATGGAAACTAATCTAAACTGGCCTTGATTTTGTAAGTTTATAAAAATTTTATTCATATCAAGCTGAAGATGAGTCTTACCTTTAACAACAAGCCGGCAAAACAAATGGGAATGCAGGTGCCAGGACCGTTACAAAGTATCTGAGGAGAAGAAAGGAATAAACACACAGTGAACTTCTCAAAGACAACCGCTATCAATCATAAATCATTCAAACCATTTGCAAGACAACAACAACAGTATATAATACACATAATAATACGTATAATAATAATAATAATAATAATAATAATAATAACAAAAAATAATAATGATCAATAATAAAATAATAATTATAATAATAATCATAATAAATAACAATAACCATAATAATCATCATCATCATTGCCTAGCACATACTGGTGCTCTACAGATCTTTGCACTTTACAACTCTAGAAGTACCCCAGCAGACCCTACAACACTCAGAGCCCATGGTTCGTGGGTGTTCTGGTGAGGTCTGCTCCTTCTTTCCTATCAAACATCTAAAGTCCTGATCTCTCCTCCTCCTTTTTTGTGTTTGTTACTCTCTTGTAACACTTCTTATCTTCAGCATTTATATGACCTTATTGTGCTGCAAGTGCCGTAAAACTCTTATTAAAACTAATAATACACTACTAAGAAACATTCTCAGCCTCCCGGGAAACATATGTAAGGCACTTACCACATCTGGCTGCAGTTTAAAAACGAGAGGAAACGAGGATAGCGAGGCACGGCAGGTGGTGAGAATACTGGTCAGGTACGACTGTTTCACCTCTCGGCTCCGGGGGATGGTGAAGATCTGGTACTGAAATTGACAAACAAAACATGTACTGTACTGTTAATGTACTGGCTAAGGGGGGTGGGGGGGGGGGGGGGAATCATAAAAAGAGAGAAAAGAAAAGAGTAAGGGACGACACTTTCTAATTCTCTTCTTGCATGAAGAGGTTTCACACACACACACACACACATTAACACACACAGACACACATTCTTTAGTTTTAGTAAAAGTTTTACTTCTTGCATGAAGAGGTTTCACACACACACACACACACACATTAACACACAGAGACACACATTCTTTAGTTTTAGTAAAAGTTTTACGGCACTTGCATCACAATAAGGTCATATAAATGACGAAGATTAGAGGTGTTACAAGAGAGTAACAATAATCACAAAACAAAGTAGGAGGAGAGATAGGGACGATGGATATTTGATAGGAAAAAAAACCAACACCTGCTGCTTATGTCCCCTGCAACGGGGGGGGGGGGGGAATCATAAAAAGAGAGAAAAGAAGAAAAGACCAGGGAATGGCACTTTCTAATTATCTTACTGCATGAAGAAGTTTCACACACATATCAACATGAATAACACACAGGCACACACATTCTCACCAGAAAAATGTCAATGTAACCAAAACCCAATGCAATAAAAATAAAAGTCTCTCAAAGGACATCCTAAAAGAGCCGAGATCCTTAACTATTTACACCCCTCCTCCCCTTCTTTATCCACCTTCACATAGAATATCGGGAAGTTTAAGTTTACAGAAGCATTCCACTGTTCTTCTCCCCTTTCTGTATAAAATTCAACTCATCTTTAGCATGAAGGCATTGTGCATAGCATTATATTTATTATTATTCATTATTATTATTATTATTATTATTATTATTATTATTATTATTATTATTATTATTATTATTATTATATCCCATGTCTCTAAAAACATAAACCAGGCAGTCAACATGACAAAACAAATTGTGTACATGTATCTTCCTCTTCTTACACTTCAGTAGAGAGGCTGACATACAGAGATCTCAAATACCCACAGAAAAAAGTAATGTGTGACTACTGCAAGCACATGCATATGCACACACACGCACACACACACACACACACACCTGTGCATGTGCTTGCACACACAGACACACACTGCACATATGCACGTGTATTCTAACTCACCCTTAATAAATCACTGATACCATTTTGACTCTTGATAACTCAGCTCAACCTAGATAATGAACTATAGCAAACACACAGGCACGCACGCACACACACACACACTTATGAAGTTATGCCCACATTTTTTCATATAAACAGTACAGTTATCTGATTAGGTTGACAGCATGTCACGATAAGATAACAGACCAATTCAAACCCATGACAGATGCAAAAGAGGACAAAGTCTGTATTGGATGAAACATTTTTCACCGCCAAGAACTCTTGAGAGTCTGAATGGCAGAAAGTAGCACAGTCAAACCTTCTCCAACAACCACCTGTCCAAGACAACCACCTGTCCGAGACAACCACCTGTCCAGATGACCACTTCCCATTTCCGGCCTTTCACTTTTTCTATATTATATCATAATGACATTATCCAAGACATCCACCTGTCTTGTTTTATGTTTTAATAGAGGTTTTACGGCGCTCACAACTGCATAAATAAGGTCATATGAGCGCCAAGGGGTGGATATCGACAGAGATGTCCTTACAGGAAATCAGGCTTACTCTGCTCACCTCTCTAGCTTCAAAAGCACAAAGTCTGCTTTGACTATCAAGGCACCCCCAAAAATAGCAGGTCCCAAGTGTGTGACAAACATATAAAAGAAGTAGAGGGAAAATGACGATAGTAAGGATTCGGAAAGAAAAAGCAGAAGTTCCTTGTTGTAGTTCAGGCACAGTAATGAGCATGATATTGATGAATCAGCCCATTTACAATTCTACAGTGCATAATGTTAATGTCCCCACTAAAGACGCTTCAGTCAGCAGCATCGCCCTGGGGGGGGGGGTAATCCACCAGTCTAAAATAAACACTTTTCTGCTCCAAAATGGACGGCTGTCTTGGTCAATTTCGACTGCATCTTACACACTACTGGCTAAAGAAAGCCTGCCACAAAACTTAGCTTTCAGACCATTATTAATAGCCGGGAACCTATTCCCACTTGAGTGAAGGGAAATAATGTTTTTCTGAGCTAGTTTTTTCATCAAATAAAGTGAATTTTAGTAAAAGTACGAATGTTAGTATCCACACACCTCTTGAGGTACATCATCTCCACCACGTTGTTTCTCACAGTAGTGAATCTTTGCCTCGCTCACAGAGTCGGTCTCTGCAACAATATAGTAGCGTGGACTGTAGTGTTTGCCAAGCGTTGTCGCCAGACTGAGGATTTCCCGCGTGTGACCCCCTGAGGAAATAGGATGCAACCAACTTTAAAACAGGCATCTTCCCACTCAAGTGTACCAACAAATGAGTAGCTTGAATCTTACGCAAAACTGACATAAAATGATTCAAAACTTTCTTTTACAGACAAAATGTGTTACAAAACATACTTGACATTGTACCAAAAAAACCAAAAAACTTTGTGATGCCTCACGATAATAACTGCTGGCCTTAAACTGCGCTCTGCTATGTCAACAATTTGATGTTGAAGTCCTTCAGTTACATTTTCAGGGTGTCTTCGAAGCAATTTTAATTTTTTTGATGCACCAACTTTACAGCTCAGAATATAAAATACTGCTTTTGAGATTCTGTAGTCTGTAGGCCTAATTAGGTGTTCTTACAGCATGGTCAGCTCAGTAAAGTCGAGTCTTTCTGAGCTTAGAAAACATCGCGCGCGACTGTCGTGTCTGATCGGTCCATGTAGCAATTGAAAGTCTCATGTGAGACAGATTGGGGGAGCGGCAGGTTTAGAGCATCACCATTGGTCAAAATACCTAGCCAAGGCGTGCCCACGGTCGACACGCCGTATGTGGGGAGTGTGTGTGTTTGTGTGCGTCGGTGAAGGCAAGGTTCGAGACTATGTGCCAAGAATAACTAGCTAGTCTCTCTGCTGTGAACTGCCAGTCGCGCGCGACGTAACGTCGCGTAGCGCATAAAGAGACACTTTTGTTGCTTCTGTCGCACGTGAATGAAAATTTGGGCGCGACTACACAGGGATACACACCACACGACGTTACATCGCATCGTGCTTAAGGATACATGGTCTAACAATCAAACAATCTAGATCTTCTAGAGTGACTAGCAGAAACCAGTCTTGGGTATAAAAGTAAAAGACTTTACAAGAAGTCTTTGCTTTTACTGTAGTGTAGCTAGCTGAAAAGTTTGGGCCTTACATAATTCTAGATCTAGCATTTAGTACATAAGCACAGTCAGTCACTACATATAACAAGGGCAAGCGTGACAAGAGAAGTAGAGGTAGATCTAGATCTAGAGATCTAGAGTAGATCTAGATCCTAGATCTAGAAAATAGAAGAAGAACAAGAGTTCAGATTCAAAATTTTCCAAATCGAAACCAGACCTGATCCTGCGACCATAAGGACAGAAGCCGGGTCTTTGTCTTTGCTTCTAGTATATTTCTTTGAATTACGGGTCCAGAGTCTCAAAATGAGGAAAATCAAGCTCAAAAAGAAGATCAACACGAAGAAATAGTCCAACGTCATCTTGCTACCAACTGCTCATTTCTCAGGATCGCTGTCGAACGAAGCACAAGAAACAAACCGAAAGTACAAATACAGCTGACGAAACTAGAGCAGAATCACTGTTAAAAAGTAGGATTTGTTTTCCTGCGGCACCCAAAAAGCATTTCGGTGTCAAAATACCTTTACAAGCGTTTCTGACGTCGACCTGCTCCTGAGTGGAGAACAATACTATGTTGCTAATCTTTTTTTTTTAAAGACCACAACAAAATACTTCTTGAGTTGTTGTTTTTATGTAAAGCCAGAAATGTTTGTCAAATGCTAGGTTTTAGCAGAGAGCTAAAAGCCTCTGGCCTCTTGTTTTTTGTTTGTTAGAGAGCATACGTTTTGGTTGCCACTTAGCGTCTGACAGGACTGATTGTTTAGCTCGTTCAAATTCAATCTAGACTTTTTACAGCATATATACTATTATGAATGTTCAGGTTTGGTACACCAAAGTTTATCCGTATGAATACAAAATTTAAAAGGGAAATCTGAAGCCAGTATAATTTTCCTATGATATGGTAGATCGCGCCAATGTTTTCCGCGGTTTTATTTTTTAGAGATAGCCTAGAATCTATAGATCTATAACATTCTGTGCTCTCTATTACCTGGCATTGTTCTTAGGTTCTGCCTTGCCTTGTTCTGCGATGCCAGGTCTGGGATTGTGTCGAACTTAGAGAAACGAACGTGAGGCACTGATGAGAGAGTGGGTTTTACATCTGCTGTGTATGGTAACCGTGTTTATGTGATTCTGTCATCAAGTGCTCTTGGTGTGCCTCTTCAATTGGGACCTAAACTAAACATCCCGAGTTTCATCCACAACAGTTCCGTAGTATTATGAGGTAGGTGGTCGAAGTGTGGCAATGTTGACTGGAGACAGCACAGTAGTGGCATTCATTACGCTAATTTTAATAGACTAAACTTTTTGTCTTTAATTTAGATGGATGTAGAATCTAGATTCTAGATCTAGTTAGTTTTAGAGTCTGTTAACATTCAGTATTGATTTCCTCCATTCTTCCTTTACAACGCAGGCTTTTATTCCGATGTGTTTGCTTCCGTGGCTGTGGTCTTTGTTTTGTCATTGACATTGTTATTCCATTGGATCATTGGTCTTGGATTTAGTAAGGCTAATTAATTTAAATTATTAGACAGAGTAGAATGTGAACTTCAAAATGCCATACCAACCCAGCCCCATCCATAAACCGTTGTTGTTCATTGTGGAGTCAGCAGTCGTGAGCAGAGAATTAGATCTTGTGAGAATCAAGCTCAAACTCACCCCCAATACTCTTTCAATACTTTTTTAAAAATCGAAGTGTCGATAGACTCGGTAACCGGGAAAAAAGTCACGAAGTATACGGACCCGGTAGGAGAACTGTTCTCTTTTGTGAGGTCGGAAAGTTTCAGCGCCCAGACCCGGTAGTGTGGGTGTGTGTGTGTGTGAGTAGAGAGAGAGAGAGAGAGAGCAGGGGGAAGTGCTAGCAAAATGTATGACATGCACCAGCTGACAAGAGGGAACAAGACAAAGATAGGGAGAAAGAAAGACAGAGACAAACAAAGAAAAAGAGAATGCGATCGATACAGAGAGAGAGAGAGAGAAAGAGACTGCTAGATTGAAATTATGACATTGTTAGAACTTTATTTTCTTCAAATTGTGATTCCTCCAAGAAGTCCCAAAACGGAGGAAATACGATCGTTCATCGAAAAGACATCCGCAATGTTCATTTAGATCTAGAGATCTAGATCTCTCGATCTAGGCTAACCTCGAAACTAGATTGAAATGATTTATGTCTGTCTATCTAGACCTAGACCATAGATCTAATCTAGAAGAACCTAGGTCAACCCTAAGCCAAGAGGGCGCTGATTCGCTGAAACTTTCCGAAATCACAAAAGAGTTCCCCTACCGGGTCTGTATACTTCGTGACTTTGTTCCCGGTTACCGGGTCTGTATACACTTCCATTTTAAATACCTACCAAGTCCAATCCACCTTTCTCAGCTTCAGTTCAGTCCCAGGCCCAAGCCTGTCTTGGAAGTTGGGGTAGGCCATCTCATCCGGCAATCTCAATCAGGCCCAAGAGTATGTGGTCGAAAGATTGAAGATGTCCCCATCCTAAAATTTAATTTTAAGTCTTGGTTGTGCTGGTAGATTTTTTCTTTCCAAGTGACTATTTCTCTGAACGCTCGGGAAAATAAACTTGACCTCTATTAATCTATTTCTCTGAATGGTTTCCGTTCTTGAGATCTTTTGTTTTCGAGAGTTCGGCGTCATCTTCTGCCATTCTCTGAGAACTGGGGAAAAGCTTTTATTTTTTTTCATTGAATTCAATTTCTAGAGCTAGAGATTTTTAGATGTCTGAATATTCAGATACTTCAATTGTGGTTGGAGCAACGTTCCCGGACTTTACTTCATTTGAAAATGCCTTCAAAAGGTACTGCGAGACAACAACAAAAAATAGACTGCTTGATTTTGGCAGTAAAACCTATCTTGCATTTAGTCACCCCTAAAGTAAAGAGAGGAAGGCAGAGAAGGAGGTGAGAGGACAACATTACAGAGTGGACAGGAAAGACGATGGGTGACAGTCTGAGGAAAGCAGAGAACAAAGATAAATGGCAAGAGCTGGTTTTCAGTGCAGTGGTGCCCCTACAGTTGCCCCAACCACGGGATAGAAGTCTAAGAAGAAGTAAGAAAGTAATTTAGATCTAAATCACACAAAAATCCCTCCACGACCCCACCCTATTCTCCCCCCCTCCCCCCTCCCAGTTCACACCTTATACACACTCACTCACACGCGCACACACATGCGGGCCACTCCTTTCGCAAATTTACCAAAAAATCTCGAGAACGAACAGAGAAATAGAAGAATTCAAGTTTATTTTCCCGAGCGTTCAGAGAAATAGAGCCGCCCTTTTTCTTTCACTCACACTCTCAGATGCGCTATGATAATAAAGCATGGAATGGGCCAAACCATCATATTTTTGGCTGTGGAACACATGTATATGGCTACTAAAACTGTCATTATATAATCATTTTAGTAAAGAAAATCTCAAACTTAATTGAGAAACATCGGTTTATTATAGGGAAATGCGGAAGGGGGGGGGGGGGAATAAAAGTTAAAGTATATTTGCTAAAATCGTCAAAAGAGAGCCATAGAATGGGCTCAAAGATGACTCACTGACTGACTTGATTATTTTTATTTTTATTTAAAAATTAATAATATGTTAATAATAGAGAGGACAAATTCAGTCCATATACATTGAGACAATATAATATAATATATTATATCATGTTGATACTTGGGCAGTTGAGGGCCATTATGTTTTACAGAGTGCAATGCTTTGTTCAAAGTTGTGACTCACTATTTTTTTCTTAGCAAGATCAAAAAGATCTAGAACTCTGAACCGAAAACCAATCCAATTCACAAAATACTGCTACTTTTGACAGAGATGCAAAATGAAAAGGAATATATTTGTCTTGTGGCCAGGAAGGGCTGGAGGGCGGGGGGAGGAGGAAATTACACTACAGATCCCGACTGCTCTCATATGTAAAGTATAGGGTAGGGCTTACCAAAGTGCAGACTGTGGGCCAATTTGTTGGGCCTGCCTCCAGGCTGGAAAACAAGCAAACAAACTTGGACGATGTTGTCACGCTCATAAACAAAATGCCTAACTCAGAGTTAGGCCCTTTGCATTCTTTGTGTTCACGCGCCTCCCCATGACCCCTTTCAACGTTTGAATTAAAATAATTTTTCCAGACAAAAAAACCCAGTGAATTAGTAGCGCGAAAGCGATATGCCTAACTCATACATTTGAATTAGGCATTCTGTTGAATCAAAATACAAAAGGCCTAGACTTCACGTTCAACCGACTTCCGCCGTCACTTCAGCGTTTGCTCGAATAATTTGACGTCAATGTCTCGCAGAAGACGACAAACTACTCAGCAAGTAATGAATACCTAGAATGGTAGGTTGAACCTAAGTTTACAATGTTACGTTCCTACTAGTTAATTACATATACATATATAAAAAGTGCCTTTCCAGTTCAGTTACCTGTAGATACAACCACTTCCCCCTTGCATCTTTTATTTCTATATTATAACTAGCTGGGCCCCCTTTCGATGAAACGAATGATCGGTGCTTTAATATCAACTAAAAGTCATTGGCCTACAATATTTACACTCTTCTGGAATGGGGCAATACATTTTGAGAGATGCAAAAAATTAGGTCTAGATCTATACTCTCAAAACGAAATGCGCCTTGCGAAATATAACTTTCGGGTTTTCTAAAATTACAGAGACAGAAGCGTCGGCCTACTAAAACGATCGGCGAAATAAAGAAATTTAGCTTTTTGCTACAAAACTGTCTCAAAACTGAAAAAACCAAGGGCGTCATGATCTGGAGAATATTTTAAAGAATCTTTTGGCGAAAACCGCATCATGTAGATCGATGCAGCCATTAAAAATCCTTTTGAATAGCAAAATTGGGCCACCACAAAAAGATGATAGATGACACTGGCCTAGACATCTAGCTGTCTAAGACGACCACTTTCCCTCAAAATGGCTGGCCTCTTAGACAATTCCGTACAACCCCCCGGAGCGGTGTCTTCAGGCCATTCTTTCTCGGGGGGGGGGCAATTTTAAAAAAAAATTTTATCGTACAGGGTTTTACGGCGCTCGCAACTGCATAAGGTCATATGAGTGCCAAGGGGTGAGTGTCAACAGAGAATTCTTTACAGAGAATCAGACTTATTCTGCTCACCTGTCTAGCTTCAACAGCACAAGGTCTGCTTCGACTATCACGGCACCCCGGAAATAGCGGGTTTCAAGAGAGTGACAAACATACAAAAGAAAAAGAGGAAAATGACAATAGTAAGGATTAAGAAAGAAAAAGCCGCAGTTCCCTGTTGTAGATCAGGCACAGTTATGAACGTGACATGAGTCAGCCCATTTACAATTCTACTGTGCTTGAACGAGAAATGTCCTCCCTTTGGGAATGGCCTAAAGACGCTACAGTCAGTGGCACTGCCCTGGGGGGTGGGGGACAATTAACATACCATGTTCTTATACACAGTTGAATTATAATTGTAAATGGGCTGATTCATCAATGTCATGCTCATAAGTGTGCCTGAACTGCAATGGGGAACTTCTGCTTTTTTTTTCCTCATCCTTACTATCGTCATTTTTCCTCTAGGCCTACTTCTTTTGTATGTTTGTCACACTCTTGTGACCCGCTATTTCCGGGGTGCCTTGATAGTGGATACAGACTTTGTGCTGTTGAAGCTAGAGAGGTGAGCAGAGTAAGCCTGATTCCCTGTAAAGACTTCTGTGTTGACATCCACCCCTTAGCGCTCATATAACCTTATGCAGTCGTGAGCGCCGTAAAATCTGTACTAAAACTAAACTGTCTAAGACAACCACTTTTCCCCTCAAAATGGGTGGCCTCTTGGACAAATTCGTACCATGCAGTTGACTGAACATAAAGATTAGCCTTTGCCAGTTGAACCAGATTAGTGTGTCCCCAGAAATTGATTTTCTAGCTGAATGTGAGTGGGTGGTTGGCGGGTGCTCTGGTGTGGTTTGCTTCTTCTTTCCTTTCAAGCATCTATCGCCATTATCTCCCCTCCTTTTTTGTGTTTGTTACTCTCTTGTAACACATCTAATCTTCGGCACTTATATGACCTTATTGTGTTGCTAGTGCCATAAAACTCTTACTAAAACTTTTTTTTTTTTTAACTAGCTGAATGTACTAAGCGCACTAAGGGAAGGTTATTGGGTCGATGTCTTTTTTTACCACAAACTCCTCATCTGCATGCGGCACTAAATGTATGTTTACTTCTATGCCGTTCAAA